GGAAAACTCACATATTGTGTTGTATCTTACTCAATTTTTGCTCATTTTACTTCATTTTTTCTGGAATATGAAAGATACTTCAAAAGTATAATTCTTACAACTTAGATCATGTAATTTGGTTAAGTATTAGTTGAGTTATAGTAGATTTTGTATTTGAGTGTACTTAGTGTGACGAAAATCACGAATTGCACGTGTGACAATATTTATGAAAACAACAGTAATTAAGCATATTCTTGATCTCACACCTTAATGCTTAATGCTTAATGCCCTTTATGCTTAATATACCTCTATTTTCCTGCCTACCAACTTGGTGGATCAAATTTTTCATGCTTATTGAGAGGAAATGCTAAACTACAAGTATGCTTATTGACAGGTTTCACTGTATCTCCAATTTATTTCATATTATTAACACGGCACATAGACACAACATCCATGTCATCAGACAAACATTCGACGAACTCCTCATCAGTACATCTCTCATTCCCTCTCGGGTCTTGCCAGCGTTACTACCTTCTATCCCGCCTTTATCCTCATCCCAAAATGCTCAAGATATCAGTAACCTACCTCTGCACTGGCTACACTCCCAAGGACTACCCTACACCAGTACACTACAGGCTCTGGGGAACCCTTAGCCGTTCAAAAGCAATAAACTGTCCAACATTAGCCCTACAGCTCACAGGCGGTAAGAAAGTACAACAGGTGTTGACAAAGGAAGGTGCACTCAGAAATTCCTCCAGCCCTCTCCTTCCTCTCCAAGGAAGTTTGGACCCGAGAAGTTTACGAACGAAGATCTGGCACTCCTTCGTTCCTCCTGGGTCCAAATGTTCTGCCTCTCCGAACCTCCTTCTATTTCTCCTTCCTTCTCTCAACCAGACGGGATTCCCCACGCAAAGCAAAAATACCAACGCCTCGTACTCAAACCGCAACATGAAGGCACCAGGAACAACGTCTACCACTCTTCCATCCTCTTATTTTTAGAGAAGCTAGACAAGAAAGATTGAGCATTTTGGATTGGTATGAGACTTATTGAGCCTCCTGCAGGAGGGGGTGGATATTTGGTTTGTGCATGGTCTGGTACTACATCCGTCAATTCTGGTGAAGGGGTGGGAAACCCACGATCGGACGTCGTGAGTGAGCTGTGCATCTCTGGTTGGGTGGACGAAAGAGGGAAATGACACAAGGTGAGGCTGGGAACAATGGTGAGGGTGAGAGCGGAGGCTGTGCATGACTTATTAGAATTAAGGGAAGGGAGAGGGATGAGGGTGGTGTTGCTGTGCGGGTTTCAGTTCTTGACTCAGTGCTTCTAATTGATTGCACATAACAGTGTTCGCTATGCATGTATATGCCATTCAAATTACTGTCTGGAGAAGTAGGGTATGGAATACTGCATATATGTGCCGTGCATTATACCTGAATGTATAGAAGGCGTCAAGTTAGATTAGTGTTGCCTTAAGCGTATTATACAGCAATTTCAATGCTTGAAATGTTAAGGACAAACAGCAAGAGGTTCTGGTGAGTGAAATCGTGAGCAATAAGTTGCTTCAACCAAGGGACAAGATAATGCTATCATTGAGGAGATTCAAAACATTCCTGCCAACGTTCACCATTGGCAGCATTCGAAAAGTCCAACCTAGTCGAAAATGAGCAACTGAGAACTGCGGTATTTCGAGCGCGTAAAAGCGTTGGACGAATATCAGGGGGGATCCATAAAAGGAACTCTCCTTCGCGTCCACGTATCCACCCATCGTCATCATCCAATGTCCAATCAAAGGCGAGATCTATATTGAATGCAAAAAAGAGAGACAGCTGTCAGAGTTTGCGTTTTTGTTGAGCAACAGGGAGGACACCTTCCAACCTTCTACATTCCATATCCTAATCGTATGATCGAAGGCCCCGGAGCCAGAGACGACGCGTCGTCCATCAGGCGAGAACGCGACGGAATTGACACCACCGGTATGCCCTTCAAAAGTGAATATTGCCTGTCCAATCTCAACGTCCCAGACTCGGATCGTCCTGTCGTTGGAACCCGAGACGACACGTGCTCCATCGGGAGAGAACGCAACTGATTTAACCCACTCTGTATGTCCTTTGAAGGGCCCAGCCACGATTCGACCACTCTTGACGTTCCGGATTCGAATCGTCTGGTTATTAGAACCAGAGACAACGCGTGTGCCGTCGGGCGAGAACGCTACCGACCAAACCCAACCTCTTACTTTCAAAGGTCCAGAAATTATTTCCCCACTTTCACTATCCCAGATTATGATTGTGTTGTCGGCAGAGCCAGAAGCAACGCGTCTCCCATCAGGCGAGAAAGTAACTGAGTAGACAGAACCGCCATGTCCTTTGAAAGGACCCGAAATCATCTGCCCGCTTTCGACATCCCAGATTCGGACTGTTCTGTCAAGGGAGCCGGACACAACGCGTATCCCATCAGGTGAGAAGCAGACAGAGTTGACATCACGTTCATGCCCTTCGAGAGGTCCAGAAACTACATTTCCACTTTCGACGTCCCAGATTCGAATTGTATTATCGTAAGAGCCAGACGTGACACGCCTTCCATCTGGCGAGAAGGCAACAGAGGTGATATGGTCCGAGTGCCCTTCGAAGGGTCCAGCGACAGTGTGACCAGTTATTGTGTCCCAGATTCGAATCGTTCCATCATCAGAGCCAGAAGCAATGTGTCTTCCATCAGGCGAGAAAGCTACAGAATTTATTCCATCTGCGTGCCCTTCAAAATGCGTAGACACGGTTTGAACATTTTCGGCATCCCAGATTCGGACTGTGTCATCGTTGGAACCTGAGATGACACGGGTTCCGTCGGGAGAAAATGCAACAGACAATACGGAGTGAGTGTGCCCTTCGAAAAGTCCACAAACTACCTGCCCAGTTGCAACATCCCATATTCGAACGGTTCTGTCACCAAAACCAGAGACTACGCGTTTCCCGTCAGGCGAGAAAGCGACAGAGTATACTACATCGGTATGGCCTTCGAAAGGCCCAGAAATGCATTGTCCACTCTCCGTGTTCCATATTCGGATCGTGTTGTCCCAGGCGCCTGAGGCGAGACGTGTACCGTCACGAGAGAAAGCGACCGATTGAACACTGTCTGCGTGGCCTTCGAGAGGGTAACAAATGGGCTATCCACTCTCAACGTCCCAGATTCGAACAGTCTTGTCTTCGGAACCAGAGACGATGCGCTTTCCATCGAGCGAGAAAGCAACAGAATTCACTTTCCATTTGTGCCCTTCGAGACATGCGGAAAGTCCGCTTTCAGTGTCCCAGATCATGACAGTTTTATCAGCGGACCCGGAGGCGATGCGCATGCCACCCGGTGAGAAAGCAACCGACAATACCTGGTCTGAATGTCCCTCAAAAGGCCCGGAAATCATCCTCCCACTCTCAACGTCCCAGATTCGAATTGCCTTGTCGTCGGATGCGGAGACAATGCGCGTACCGTCGGGGAAGAAAGCAACAGACTGTACCCAGTCAATATGCTCTTTTAATGGGTCAGAAATGACTCGCCCACTTTCAGCATCCCATATTAGGATTTTGTGACATGAGGCGGAGGCAACCCGAATACAGTCGGGTGAAAATGCAACAGTAGTGACAGCGTTTCTATGACCTGTGAGCACTTTCAAGAGCGGTGACCGCTGCTTCTCACCTATTTGCTCTATTCCTACATTGGATATATCAGGTTTCAAGAAACGCGCCATAAACTTTGACTCCATCGATGCAAACGGGAGGACTGATACATAGATGTGAGGTGTGGACTCCGAGATAGCTAATGCATATCGGGTAATTATTCTGCGCACATCTCTGAGGAGAGCAAGTACCTCCGTATTATGTGACTAACGAATGGGCAAAATAAGTATCAGATCGAACGGTCCCATCTATAACTCATATACTCACCGAGATCCAATCGATAAGGTGAAGGATTGACGGACTGGCAGTGTGGACCTTTCCCAAGAGGCTCATCGCTTCGAGCCAGTACAGCAGACGTTCACGAAGAAATTCTAAAATCTCATCCAAGAGTTCACTCGAGAATTGCGTGTCACGTAGGTGCTCGGTCCAGAAGAGGCAAGCGTAGTTCAAGTGCGGAGGAATGTTTGCCTTGATACGGTCCGGAAGGTCAGGGACCTGATCGTTTGAGACGTACGATGACTTTATGTTACAGATGTTGAACCGCAACCCGTCCTTCATGGCATCGAAGCAACGTGAAGCAATGAAGTCTTTAAAGGCCTCAAGATTAATGAACCACGGGTCGCTCTTGCGTTCGGGTGACAATAGGTAATCGCGGAAAGATGTTTGGTAGAATTGAATAGGCTTGCTCGGAGTGAAGACAAGTATCGATTGTAAACGAGATAGGATAAGCCTCGATGGCTCGTCGCTCGGAAATCCAAGCAGCTCGTCAATCATATTATCGTATATCTGAGTTTTGCTGAGAACGACGAGACCAAGCGCTTGCGAAAAGCGAGCCTTGGATGAATCATCGTCGAACGAAATCCCCGAATTTGCAAGCACTGACTTATAAAGTCGTTCGAGGCCAGAGAGATGCTGCGATTGAGTAACTAGATGTTTTAGCTTCGGAGCCGGGTTGTCGCAGTCCACCAGTTTCACTGCTGTCGACGCCCAGATGAACAACCCCCCTGCTGCTGTAGCAAGACGATCCATTTTCGACTGCCAATCATCCGGAATCGGCAACTTCCTAATCACGAATATGTTGCGCATCGCACACTTAAGATAGCGAAGCACGTCCTCCCTACAGCTATCCGAGCTGTGTTCCAGTTCGACACAACGGACACGCTCGGGTCGAGAGGACAGTGCTTGATCAATGTCCGGTTCCCTCCTGCTCGTAATCAGGAACCGAAAATTTCTCGGGAGCTCTGGTAGTCCATCTCGGAAGCTCTCCATTAAGTTTCGCCTCGTTTTTTCCGTGCCACATTCGTCCAATGCATCGAGAACAATGACAATAGGTCCTCGCATAGCATCTTGAGACGAATTAAGAGGGACACGGAGTAGGTTCTCAAACTGAATTGCCGACGTGGCCTGGCCAATATCGCTGTCCTGTTTAATGGCTGCAATCACGTTGGCTTCCACAGACGAGTCGAATGAGGCGAGCTTATAAGCGAGTGTTCGGATGACACAGCTAGGATCGCTCTTCCCGCGTTCAAAAAACAGACGGGCTCCAAGACGAGATATCCCACGGAAATATTCTGCAATAGTCGTGCTGACTGTACTCTTCCCAGATCCTGCCGTTCCGTGCAGCCAAAAGACATTCTGGTCCGAACCTGATACTGCCCACTCTATCACCTCGTTCATGATTTCCGTCCGCGTTCCAGGAAGACATTGGGGCCGATTAAACGCGTCCATCATGTCTGGATGCAGTCGGTGCGATAAAACTGATCGGCTCGCTTCAGTTTCATTCATCATATGTAGAGATGCAGCACTCACATAAAGTATCAATTTCTGAAGACATCCTCATTGAAACAAATGCTGTACAAATAACAGCACCCGACTCAATCGATTCTTTGAGTGCGCGTAGGGACTGCATGAACTCGTCGGCTTTTCCATCCACGTCAATCTTAAACATTCGTCCTGACGCACAATAAGGTGCCTACGTACGACATGATTTAACGCTAGACGCACCTATGAACGTATGACTTGCATATTCCTGTATAAAGAGGCAGCATTCATTCGTCTGCTTCAAAAGCTGGATAATAGTTGTCCCAAGGTACTGCGTCTTGTCGCGGAGGAAGTCTGCATCTTGAACGAAGTTGAAAGCATCCTCCATGGCATGCACAAGCTCAATGACCTTCTTATCAACCTCGAATTGGCGACTGATGCTCTGAAGACAATGATCAAAAATGCCAGATAATAGACGTTTAGCATACCTTGTATAGCTGTGATACAACTCTCCATGTAAAGTTGACGTACGGATGCACCTAATATCTCTCATCAATCACGGACGCGAACCACAGAAGACAAGTCCTACTTGGGATAGTTGGTCGATAATACCGACAAAGACGTCCAATTTCGAAATGAGCTTTCCAATAGACTGGTATAGATCAGAGTACCCGGAAAGCCGGGTGCCAAAGGCTTCCACGGCTGCAATGTTAGTTGAATCTGCGGCCGCTGCTAGAGCTGTAATTCCACTCCGTTGGACTGCTTGCTCGGCAGCATTGACGTTATGGCTAGTGCTCATAAGCACGTCTACAGCCTCCAAACGTAAGTGAAGAGTCGCAGCAGCTTCTGTTGATGCCAATCCACGAGGCTTATTAAGATGCAGTTCTACTTCTATCGTATCTGATCAGTGAATGGCAGTGTCGATGTCAATCAGTTCACATACCTTTGCCACCCGCACAACACTCCAACAAGGCATTAATCTCAGCCTCAGCTTGCCCCATGCATACGTCTCTCAGGTGCGATCTCCGCATGATCCTGATATTGACATTTCCACTCTTGTCTGCAGATGGTCTGTGGTCAAATAGTTAAACCGCATCCTGTGTCAAGGTAACCGGTTTGCTCACAACTCGAATGAAAGACGTTCATCCCACTTGGGTGATAAGCTCTTCTCTGCGATCGTCGTTTGTCTACTCTCATTGTTGAGCTCGACCTGGACATAAAGACTCGGCAAATTTCCGAAGACTTTTGGTCTATATTTCACTTCGGAGGCGCGGACAACTGTAATGTGTGTCATGTCAGTGTAATGTAGAAATAGTGCGTAAACAGCGGAGGAGAGCATACCTGTCAGGGAAAGGTGGGTAGCTGTGGAAGTAGAAGCCATGGGCGGATGCGACCAGTGCCAGGAGTCGCACGAGCACTTCAATAAAGGATACGTAAACCTCAGGCGGAGATTCAGTTCTCTTTATGCTAACAGCATAGAACGTAAGATGATCGATGCTTGTTCGACAAAGATGAAAGGGCAGAAAGCATATTTGGAAATTGTTGTAGTGCAACAAAGGCGCACGACCTCGCGACTAATTTTAAGTTCCGTATTTCGATCATGATGCTAAGCCCTTTGTGGTAAACAATTACTCAATATACTTCTATAATGCTACTAGTGTAGCATACTATCAAATATATAAAAGAAAAAACAAAATGAGTTACTCAAAATAAAGGTGTTGCAATTGCTTACAACCCCTATTCTTGCTCGTCAATCTTCTTTTACTTTTCTGCCTCCTTTCTTTGCTAAGGTCACAGCTAACTTTATTGGTGATTTCCATTTATAATCTCTCTGTACTGTTCATGATGGATTTCTACTGTGAAAGTAGCATCTTCTCCCGTGTACCCATGTCCCCTTATCTCTCAAAGCTTATATACTTTTTGTCTCATTTCTGGTACACAGTTGGAGAAGCATTGAGTGTCTATTGCATTAGTAGTTCCCTGAACATTGCTGGACAGGGTGGTTTCTTTATTATAGATAAATTACCCTGTATTTGTACAATAGACCAGCAGCCCTGCTGTTTCTTTTTAGGGACCTATACTAGGAAATATACCATACCATACCATACCAATCTCTTCTTTAAATACAAGTTTTGACAGAGAATGTTAATGTCACATAACGGAGAGAACAAATGCCTTATCCTTGGAAGACAAAGTACACACACAGAAATTAAAGCATTTCCGGAAATAACGTAGGTGCAATATGATTGTCATAAAAGATCTAATGCCGACTAATTCTTCAGTATTTTCCGTTTAATGTGCACGACGAGGTATAAAATTACAGTGAATGTATTATTATCAAAACCTACAGATGTTAATTGCTTGCAAATGAGTGGAGAGAATAAACCAACTTCTATACAGATTTCTTGTCTTAATTTAGCCAATACATGCATCAAATCTTCAACTCCCAGCTAACTCCACATCCACACCCGCTACCTTTCGCTTGAGGGTTATCCGATACACGAAACGCACTTCCTATGAGCTCAGTGACAAAGTCGAGAGTCGAGCCTTTGAGGAGTGGGAGGGAGACAGCGTCGACGAGGATGTTTGATGGTCGGAGTATAGGGTGGGCGAAGACACTATTTGAAAGCACACATTTATCCGGCGCGACGAATATAACGATGGGATTAAGCGATAATTTACAAATTATCAGTGAACTGGTCGATCATACAGACTTGGATAGGGAAACGTACTAGTCATCTGATTGTCGTTCGTTTACAGAGGTAAGATCCAGTTTGTATTGATATCCGTGGCACCCGCCTGACTCGACGCTGATTCGAAGTGCGACGTCCGAATTGTTCTCCTGTGTTGATATTCGTCGTAATTGCTATAGACATAAGAGGTTCAAATGTTAGTCAAAACTGAACTTCCTCTTCTCGTTTAAAGGAGGGGCGGTAGATGAAATGCAGAATGATTTGTCCAAAACGCTCAACTAAAGAGAGGTAAGATATAAGTAACACACGTACCTCTGCAGCCGCTTCACTAATAAGCACATTACACTCTTCAGGTGGTAGTACGTCAGCATCCAACTCTGCTTCTTCGATATCCTCTTTCGTCGGTGCCCGCAAAAGCTGCGCCATCTCAGCTCCTCTCCGACTTCCCTCCATGTCGACGTTAATCTTCGGCGGAACGCTACTAGCAACAGCAGAAGGGCCACTCGAAGTGGAAGGAGAAGCAGTAGCAGAAGTGACGATAGTAGCACATAGCGGACGTGTCGTGTACAGAAGACGTTGTCTATTTGGGTGTTGTCGAGCAAAGGCAAGGGCGGCGCGGCGAGAGAGGAAGTGTGAACTTGTGCTGGTCGAAGACAGGAGAGGTCTATGCGAAAGGAGAAGAGATGCTGATTTTGACATTGTGAACGCTTGGTGTCGTCGTGGACGACCAGAGAGTTGACAAATGAGCAGCGCAGTCACCGCAGTGAGTGTACTGAGTACTCTAATACTGCTGACAAAGACGTCGATCTCCTCAACAAGAAGCACACCATTACACTTTGAGTTTGACCTCGTCTTCTTCACCGTTCCTTCACGATTTTCACATGTAAAATTCTTGTAACAAATTACTACTATCAAACCGGGTTTTTCTACTTTTCAAATTGAATTGATATGCCGGATTTTGATTATAGGCCCATATACGCGCTTGAGTTGTTTCTGTTGCCTGGTTTGCCTAATAATTCGCCTTCTTAAGTGAGTGTACAAATAACTATTGTTGTTTGCTCATTATTCTACTCTTCAGTGACTGAGCGCACAATATAGTGTTGTACCAGGACAAAGATTTACACAGTATAACAACGGCACATTACCCATTTCCCGTTTCCAGTTCAATCCTTATCACACGCCCAGACATCATTCAACGATTCTATTTCGTACAGATACATTGAACCACGATAAATCAATTTCTTTGAGTCGCACAGGCCAAACAGACTTGCATTCGAAAGAACTGAACGTTAGATTCATTTAATTACAATATTTGACAAAGTTGGAAACACTCCTAGCTTTACCCTTACAGTACGCTTTTCTCACAGCAGATCGCGTCTAGTGAAAGAACTGATACAACCAGTCCTTGGCAGAGTACAACTTTGACTTGCTGTCTCTGCTGGCAATCTGTGGCGTTTAGCGTACTCGAAGGCGGAACACCAAGACAACATCTCTGCCGATCTCGTTCCTGATTTCCCACCTCAGGAACATTCATCCTCTCTTCTTCAAAACTTTCCTTCTCGAACCCTTTCAAGTGAATGAAGGAACGCTGATGATCAAGCCTGTCCCGACGCATATAATCCAATTTCCTTGTCGAAAGCGGAACTTCGGTTCGAAAAAGGATAACGATGTGGGAGGATCAACGATCGAATCGTTCCTTTGGGCGTGTGGTTCTGCCTATCGAATTAACTCCGAGACGTCTTACCTTGATTACTAGTATACGATGCCGCTCTGTTCTCCGAAAACGTGAAGAAAGATTGCAATTTTACAATGCTGGATTGACTTGGAAGTACACAATTGGCCGAGCAAGCTTGCCCCATGCCCTCTGACGGCATAGCATGCGCATTTACTCGTTCACGGATCCTTTAAACTGGCATATAAACGATCAGATACCCACCGGGGGCTTAAGGCTACTTGGCTCCTTTCCGCTCGCTGTCTCTCATTTACTTCTCCAGTTTTTATCTGTGTCTCTTTTGCCCCTATATACGCCTTGCTATGCCGGAAGTCAAAAGCTTTCCGATCTTCTACCCTCCTGATGGATTATACTACATCTTCAGCAAGGACTACGGCCACTTCTGGCGTCAACGTGGAACAGATTGGGAAGGTGCAATTATTGACTGTGAGCCGCTTGGACAAGTAAGGGAGGGAAACACTATGGATAACCGAATCGTCAGTTGACTGGCTTTCTTATTTTGGTACTTGTTCATACTTACATACTCTCGCTGACAGTGGAAAGTCACCACAACAAGACCGGCAACGAATAAGCTCGGGCCTCGTGTAACTCTCCAATCCGCTCTGGCTCCGCAAGAAAGCGAGTCAGAAGATGCCGTAGGATTTGTTTCGAAGAAGGTACGTATTGACACGACTGTATTTACTGATACTTGGGTGTAGACGACTTATTATGCCTCAGAGCGGCAAGGTTATCCCGTCGAATAAAAAGGCGTCCTGGACTCTCATTGGGCATGGAATGAAGCCGTTCGCTTACAAGTAACTCTACAGTAACTAACTATCTTGAACCTTATGCTAACCCAGTGTCTTCTGCAGAATTGTAACAAACGACCTGCGCATCTCAATCAATGCCCCTATGCATGTACGCACAAATCATACAGTATATACACTATTTCATACAGCTCACTCTTGTCTTTCTACCTGTATAGTCTGCGATGGACCCAAAGTCTGAGCTTCATGCTGAGTTCCACGTGACAAGTGCATATGACATGCGAGTGTACGACCCACAGTGGTGGTATTTTATACCTGTAGGTCAGATTGACGGGTTCCTTTCTGCAAATGGGATTCAAAGGGCAGGAAAGTAAAAAAGTATATGTAATACAAGAAACTTTCTTTCATGTCTAAGATACACATATGTGCTACCTGGTTGTGATTTCTTTGCCTTCGCGATCCTTGATGATTTTTTATGCTTGAGTTTTCGATACTGGTTTTGTATTCTTCGGATCAGAATAAACTCAAATTATGCACAATTAAGATAAATTTGAACAAGGTTAAAATACTATTGCGACTATGTGTTGCTTTTCTTTTCTTTCTGCAATCTTCTCGAGGTCAAGAAATCAGTCGGATCGCACGCCTCGGAGTGTAAAAAATCTGCGACGCGTTGACGCGTTTGTGTCACATGATCCAGGAGCCTCCCTTTTGATCGCCACCCTGAACAGACTGCTGACACTTTCGTCCTCATCGTACATCATCGCGCAGTTCCTCTTATAAATTATCCTCATCTTTCCCCGTGAGCAATAGTCTGGTATCCGCATAGCCATGGATGCCAGACTTCGACGAGTTCAGAAAGAAATCCTCGGTAAGCAATAACCTTATTCTTACATCTTTGACTCTTTGTGGCTCACACGAATGCTAATGGGTCGGATCGTAATTACCAGATTGCAAGAATGACAAGACGTCGAATATCATACTCGAACTTATAGATAACTCGCCTTACCACTTGAAAGGCTCATTTGATGGTCCCGAGGGTACACCTTACGAGGGCGGGCGATACGATGTGGTCAGTTCTGTTCCTGTTCATCGCTTTGTTTTGAGCCACATATTATCCCTATAATGAACCTTTTGTGTAATTTCGCGTCTCACATAGGACATAGTCGTACCTGAATCCTATCCCTTTCAACCCGTCAAAATGAAGTTCATTACCAAAGTGTACCACCCAAACATCTCATCCGCAAGCGGCGCGATCTGCCTCGATATCCTCAAAGACGCATGGTCACCTGTTCTCACTCTCAAATCGACACTTATCAGCTTACAATCATTGTTGTGTTCGCCTGAGCCGAACGATCCTCAGGATGCAGAGGTTGCGAAGCATTATATGACGAGTCGATCAAGCTTTGAAGCTACGGCTCGGTATTGGGCTCAGACTTATGCCGGAGCGCCGGCTAAAGATGGTGTGAAGCAGCCTTCTAGGACTGGGACGCCGCGAGACGAAGTGGCGATTGCGGGGTTGGAGAAGGCGCACGTGGACCAGTTTGAGGCGCTAGGGTTTGAGAGGGGCAAAGTGGTAAGTATTTAGCAAGTCGAAACTATGTCAATGGAATGTGCACAAACAAACTGATGATATTTTTATAGATCGACGTCCTTCGAAGACTAAACTACCGAGGGTCGAATGTAGCTAACATTACCGAGGACAGAGTCGTAGAAGAATTACTCAAATGACAATGTTACCTTTGTATTTGTGATGATTGTATCGATTAAATGCTGCGTATGATAAATACCTGCGCAAGTCATTCATAACTTTGCCAGATAGAAATGAGTATTTATGGTAAACAATGGATTTACAAGCGGTAAGTCAAATGCCGAACTAGTCAACAACGAAACTTGAAGCGGGACCACCACCGCGAATTACCGCTCTCCTTTATCGTTGACTTTCATTGAAGACAAACGAGCCTCGAACCCGATTCTGTTTATTCGCTATGTGGCCACACTCGACGGTATATATGTCGTCAAGCCACGACTTCCAATCCTTCATCTCGTCTCATACCCTTTGCGCGAACGACTTCCTATGAATACTTCCAACCAGCAGCTCGGACCTATCTATCGTCTTCCAGCGGAGCTACTCCTTCAAATATTCTCAGAGTTCGACTGGGATGGTTCCGAGCCTTACTTAACTGATTGGCGGGCCTGTCCCTGGTCTCGATACATCCGCATGCGGAAGACACTTCTTCTAGCTTGTCGGACATGGTACGAAATCTCGCTGCCCGCTCTTTACCACTTTGTGTATCTCTACCGTATTACACAACTTCCTGCCTTTGTACGAACGCTTCTTGAACGCGATGCATCAGATCGTAAAATCTCTCATCGCGTGAAACATCTGCGATGTGCCTTTCACCTCCCAAAGGCATGGACAACGCTATATTACGAGAACATGAAGACCATCGTCAAACATTGTCGCAACGTCCAAACGCTTCAGCTTCGACCATCATGGGACGAAGAAGCAAATCCGTATGATTTTACGTTAATGCGGATGCATGATCTGGAAGATATTCCCTTTCCCGATTTGGTGGAACTCATTATGGGTCGTGAAGCCCTCATCACGGCTACGAGGCAAGAGATTGGAATTTCGCACTTTCAGCACCTTACGAAATTGCACATGGTGATTAGCCCACTTATCTGTCGTATTGGGCTTGGAGTCGATGTTACGTTGCCGAACTTGAAGAGTTTAACATGCGAATTTACTGCAAATGCTGCATACAGGGCTGCACCGATCATTGCTGAGAACTGGTCTCTCCCAGAACTACAGAACTTGTCTGTGAAACTCGTTTGGTCCTACATGACATTTAATACCCGGCCGTCATTGGATCCTATCAAATCATTGTGTCAAGCATATGGTCACGGTCTCCTGTCGCTTCGCATAGACAACCGCAGCACATGTCTTGTCTTTAGAACAAATCTATCAAGCATCCTCACAGCCTGTCCCGAACTGACGTATATTGAGTACCCAATTGATTATATGCCGGTTTCAAAGCGTCGTTTAGAGCAGAGCGAATCATTACGCACTGTCGCGTTCTTGCCTTCAACCTTGTTGTCGCATTGCAACTTTGGACCAAGACTTTGTACTCATATTGGGCGGTATGAAGAACGATCTGCTTTCCCAGTACTGGATGCTGTTGCACTTCTTGACCCTCAGTTGCGTGGCACGACTATTGATGCTGATACAATAAATCAAGAAGACGTCAGAAGGCTACTTGAACTGTCTAGACGACTTGTCCCCTACAGGATACGTTTGCTTAATCACGACTTTCAACCAATTCAATTTTTCCATGGAGGGGGTAATGAAGAAGTCGATATGGATAGTAATGACGAGGACTTCATCCCAGGCTCCACACACGCTGAATCGTCAAGTTCTGAAGATGAATTAGAAGAAACTTATGATTACTCAGATGATTCAGTTGATGAGAATATGCAGATAGATAATGAAGAGGCATTGGAAATATTTGAGCAAACAATGGCTTGGTCTGATGAGGTAAGGAATATTTTAGAAATTGCTCTGAACATTAGGCTCATCAATTCTCATAGGACTCTTCTGATTAACTTTACATTTTTGTACATGTTCCTGTCACTAGTGTTTATCCTAATCAATGACTACAATAATGATACATCTAGTCTTGTTTTTGTTACAGTTCTCTACTCTTGTACCTTTAGTTCTAAGGGTTCTACACCCTTCTGTACTAGAACTCAGGACTTCTGTCCCTCAGGAGCACTGTCTATAGACTATATACAGGCTGACTCTCACTATTACCTTCCTTACTTTATCATTCTGTTCCTTTGACCACCCTTTCATTCTTTGTTCATTTTATAGTCTCTTACCCTTTGTCCATCCCTTCATTCTTTGTACCTGTCAGTGACAGCATAGAGGGGACCTGAAGGCTCAGCAAGGGGACCCAGGCTACAACTATCCTACACAACAGTAATACAGAACACAAGCACTGGAACATAGTCAGAACTTGCAGAACAGGCAGAGAGAGAGAGAGTGAGACAAGAGTAGAGTATATAGAGTAAGCCTAAGAGTACAGGACTACCTGGAGTAGGCAAGATCAAGACTACCAGACCAGTCTGATCTTATACACCTATATATACTAAACTATACAAGAGCACTCAGGGAGTATGAGCCACTAAGAATGATAAGCCACAAGGAATGAAAGAAAGGGGAGGTCAAAGATAAAGGTACAAGAATGAAGGGATAGACAAAGGGTAAGAGACTATAAAATGAACAAAGAATGAAGGGGTGGTTAAAGGAATGGAATGATGAAGTAAGGAAGGGTAGTGGTAAGAGTCAGCATGCATATAGTCTATAGACAGTGTCCCTGAGAGACAGAAGTCCTGAGTTCTAGTATGGAAGGGTGTGGAACCCTTAGAACTGAAGGTATGAGAGTAGAGAACTGTAACATCACCCTCTCTCTAAAACCAATCATCCTAATTAGTAAACATTGGGCTCAGTCAGCAGCTTGGGTATAAGTCAGAACAGTAGGGTTTAGAAATCTGTAAGGCAGAGTTGATACAGAGCACCTGGATGAAGTCAATAGAAGTCTTGGATTGCCTTAGTAGTATGGGTGAGATTCTCAGCAGGTTCCCAAGTGTATTCTTCAACTAGGTATCCTTTCTAGTAGATAAGGAACTTGAGCTTTCTGTGTACCAGCTTAGTATCTACTACATACTCTACTTTGTATTCTGGTTTAGAACTAATGAGTTCTAGTAGGGGTGGTAGGGGTCTTTGTTACAAAGGAAAACCTGGATCATAATACTAAGACAGTAGAACCTTGTTAAACACTGGGTGTATGTACTTTTATGTTGCTGGAAGTTGGAGTTTGTAGGCAGAGGCACTGACCTTCTTTTTAATAACAAAGGGTCTAAAGTGCTTGTTGTCCAACTTCTTCATTAGGCAATCTGTAGTCAGGTTAGTAGCTTCTAGTATAACTTTGTTATTAGGCTAGTAATCCTTAGCTATAGACCTCTTCCAATCATAGTTCTACTTCATAACCTACACTGCCTTTTCTAAAAGAGCTCATACATCCTCCCTGGTTCTGTGTATCTGTTCTACAAAGTCTGTTACAGATTCAGAACTACTGTTCCAGTTTGGAACTGTCCCCTAGTACAGATGTCTCCTATGATTGAGGAAGAATGGGGACTGTCCTGTTATAGAGTGTTGCTAGTTGTTGTGTACAAATTCTGCCAGAGCTAGCTATTCAGACTAATCTGATTACTAATGATTAATGAACATCTGGAGGTAGAGCTCAATCTCCTGATTGACTCACTCAGTTTGACTGTTAGTCTACAGGTGATAAGTAGTAGAAGGGTTCCCTTGAATTCTAAGAAGCACATACAAGTCCTACATGAATTTCAACTCAAATTACAGTCTACAATCATAAATGAGCTTCTGAGGGAGTCTGTACAACTAGAAGACATGATTCTAATAAATGTACACTATACTTTTAGAAGTGAGTTCTGTTTAGGTTGGAACTGTATAGACTTGCTTAGAGAATCAGTTAACAATCATACAGATAGTGTTGTAACCTTAAGACTTAGGTAGCTTACTAATCAGGTCTACTAAGACTTCTTCCTAAGAGTGATCTAGAATCTGATACAGATGTAGGGGAGCCCAAACCCTTGTCTAGTAAGTCTTAGTCTGTTGGTACATATTATAACTAGTCATGTACTTTAGGATTTCCTTCTACATTCTAGGCCACCAGTAGTTCCAAGTGATGAGTTCCTGTGTTTTGTATCAGTCTAAATGTTCTACAGTCAGATTGTTATAATGAGCTTGGACAATGTCCTCCTACAGCTTCTGATCCTTTAGAATGTACAGTTGGCCTTCCTAGTAAACCTATCCATCCTTATCCTCCTCCCAATCCCTAGCCTGCTTCTCTAGCTGCTTCACTACAACCTGGTTGTGTGTGTGTCTTAGAGCTTACTGTATACAAGTGACAAAGTCAACATCCTCAGATTTGAGTTAGATCTCTCAGATTGTCTTGAATGTGAAACAGGAATTGTCTAAGAGAACAAGATTTTTGTTATCATTCTCCCCCCTTTTATGACCTACTTGTCTTAAGAGTAAATTGGCTTTTGTCATTTGTGTTCTAGGTTTGTAGGTTAGTACAAAGTTAAAGTCCTACAGTTCTAACATTCAGTAGGCTTAGTAGCAGTTAAGCTTCTGAGGCACCTGGAAGTACTAGAGATTAAGGTGATCACTCTAAATCTCAAACTTCTGTACAGTACTAAGAAGATATTAATACTACTCCTCTAGGGAACAGACAATTGTAAGGAGTTCCTTGTCATAAATAGGGTAGTTCTGTTCTGTTACAGAGAGGGATTCTAATCAGAACACTATCAGACACTACTTTCTATTAATGAACTAGGACAGTACTACTCTATTTGTAAAGTCAGAAGAGTTGGCTTTGACTCAGAACTTGTTTACAACTGTCAGAACTACTAATACAGGCTTACTAGTAATAGCCTACTTGATAGACTCAAACACAGACTGTTACTAATCATCCTATTACTAAGGGACATCTTTGCTAGTGAGATTGTGAAGGGGCTAAGTAATAGTACTAAAGTCTTGAATGAAGTATTAGTAGTAGTTTACAAACCTAAGGAATGCTTAGACCTGTTTTAGGTTCTGAGGTTGTAGTCAGTTCCAAACTACAGTTACCTTTGCTAGATCCATACAGACCTCTCCTCCACCAATTATAAAGCCTAGATAATCTACTGACTCTTGTACAAAAGAGTACTTTGTTTCTCAGAGGAACAGTTTATTATCTTAGAGCTGTTGTAGAACTGCTTGGATTAGTTAGTAATAGTGCTTGACTGTCTGGGTGAAGATCAGAATGTTGTCCAGATACACACTAACATACTCTGAGTCAATCAGATCTGTAAGGATATGATTCATAAATGACTAGAATGTTGCAAGCAAGTTGGTTAGTCTGAAGAACATTATAGTTGGTTTGTACAATCTACAATTAGTTTGGAACACAGCCTTCCACTCATCTCTGTCTTGGATCCAAATATTATTATACTCTTATCAAACATCCAACTTAGTAAAAACCCTAGATGTATGTGTCTTATTAATGAGCTCCTGAATCAGGGGGAGCAGGTACTTGTTTTTGACAGTACTCTTATTAAGACAACAATAATCCTGGACTGGGTAGAGCTTCCTATCTTTCTTTTTGACAAAGAAGAAAGAGGAGGCTATAGAGGACTTTAAGGGTTGAATCTAGCTGTTCTAAAGATTTTTCTGAAGGAACTTGTCAAGTGCCTCCTACTTGTCTCTGTTAAGCAAGTAGACCTTGTAATCCTTAGGTTGGAAACTCTCAGTCAATTCAATTGTATAGTCCTAGAGACAGTGTTCAGGAAGCTAGTTAAATTCCTCTTTACTAAAGACTTTAGGGAACTCTCAGACAAAATCCAGCAGGCTAGGTCTACATACATTCTAGAGTAGAATTGTTCTGAGAGGGTTCTAGACTGGTTCTGTTATAGACATCCTTCAGATTGACTCTGTTCCACCTTGACTAGAATATGTATCCACATATCTATCCTAGTCAAAGAAGAACAACTGGTCACCTTCATTAGAACTGTTAGTAACATTAGAAGTGTCTGTATCTACTTAGAACAGTAGTACAAGGTAGCTGTAAGACTCAGAACACTAATTGAATACAAGTGTCTACTCTAACTAGTCAATAGTAGGGTTGTGAGCCTTAAGCCATTTGAATCTAATAAAGACATTTGCCTTTCTAAGGTTAGTGACTCTAAACTCAATACTTTCCTCATAATCCTGAATGGTTATCTGTAGTTGGACAAACTTAGTAATCTGACCATTCTGGTTCAGGGTTCTGTCTGTATTGTATACTAGGATTGGAAGTGAAACATATTGAGTAGGGAGGTAGTGTTCCTACATAAAGGCCTTATTAATGTATGAACTAGTGTATCTACTGTCTACTAGAGCTGTTGTTTAGATCTGGGGGGATCCTGAGAAGGGAGCTAAGAGGACAGGGACCTGGAGCTAGTGCTCAGAACATCCTTAGATAAACTACTACTTGTTCTGAAGGGAATGTACAGCTTGTACAGTCTTGTTGTCTAAGAGAGTAAGTATATGTACTAACATTTCCTCATTAACCTCTCTCTTTCAACAAGGACAGACTCATGTTCTCAGCTATAAACTCAGCTGAGGCTATCCCTGCTTGATACTACAGACAAACTACTGAGTAGTGAACAGGGCTAGGTAGTGTTCCAAACATTCTAAGATCTTAGAACACAGAGATTTTTTAATAGTCACTTTTGATTCAATAGACACTATAGGATTAGAAGTAAATAAAGTAAGAAAAGTAGAAAAAGTAGAAAAAGTAGAAAAAATAAATCAACAAAATTATTTATTAGAAAGAAAAAAGTTGGAAACAAAAGTAGATAGTTCTCCTATTTCTTCTGATTCTTTTGATTCTTCTCTTCACACTTTATCCAAGTCTAAATCTGTACAATCTAACCTACTACTTGAGTCATAGCCCTTCAGTACTGTATTCACTGTTGGGCCTCTACAAAATCCT